TTTTTAAGGCAGGGTCTTTTGTAGCTCAGACTGGTCTCAAATTCAGCTATGTAGTGAAGGATGACCTTGAACTTTTGATACTGCCTACTTCCCTAAAGCTACCACATCCAGTTTATGCAGTGCCGGGGATTGAACCAGGGCTTCATGCATGCTATGGAAGCACTCTACCAACTGAGCCCCAGCCCAGAAGCTCAAACTTTGCCAGGCTACACAAGGCCCTGACTCTGGAAAGGTCTCACCCTAACAACATGGGGAAGGTAGGATGGAGGGCTGGGTGTCTATAAATACCTACAAATATTTCTTGTTCTCGTAGACATCGTGGAGCTTGAGGACGTGCGGGTGTTCAATGAGCTTCAGGATGGCAATCTCCCGTTCCACCTGAAGGGCCAGGGACACAGGACTAGGGGTCAGCATGACCTCCCTACCTGCCCCTGGGCCCCAAAGGATCCCCTGCTACACACACATACTCATGTACACATACGCACCTTCATCAGCACCGACTCTGACAACTTCTCCCTGTTCACAATCTTGACAGCGACCTTCTGACCCGTGATGCAGTGGACCCCGAGTTTAACCAGCCCTGGGGGAGCAGGTTGAATATACAGGGTGTTCTCCTGGGGCTCCCTCCAGCTCCTAAGTCCCTTCCCACTTGGCTACCTTTTTTCTTCTTTTCCTGAGTCTCCTTGACTTGAACTGGTGATTGACAGCTGCCATTCCCACAAAAGACAACCATTTCCCCATACCCTCTTGCCCACTTCCATTCCTTCTGACTGTCCACTCTCTGCCCACCCTCTCCATGGGACTCCCCCAGCTTCTTACTCTGTGTCCTTCTGATATGCCTGCCCAACTTCTTTCCATAGTTTCTTTCTCCATAGCTTTGTGTCTTCCAGTTGGCCTCCTTGTTATCTCCATAACCCCTCCTCACTCCCTTGAGTTCTTTGCCTTTCAGATTTTGGAAGCCCCATAGTCTCACAAAGAATATACTCTCCAATTTTCCCTTTCCCCAAGCCTCCCCAGCCTCCACCTCTTTCCAAACTTGGACTCTTCAATTACCTTGCTTTAAAAGAAAATCTTTTAAAACTAGCAGCTGTAGTCAAAAGCATGCAAAATCCAAGAGTCTCCCACTCAGGGACCCCCATACACCTCCTTAGAATTCTTAAAGACTCTAAGCTCCCAGAGCCACAGATCTGTACCCTTTTTTCAGTCTCTGGGATCCAGACCTCAGCCCTCCTCCCTCAGACCCAGGAGTCCAGGACCCTGCCCTCCTCCCTCAGACCCAGGAGTCCAGGCCCCAGCCCACCTCCCTCAGACCCAGGGGTCCAGGACCCAGCCCTCCTCCCTCAGACCCCTGGGGTTCCAGCATCTTGACCCCTCCTCCTCCCATAGCTCAGGAATTGAGGTCAGCAACACCTTACACTTACTATCAAGATCTAAAGGTTTGACCTCCTCTTTCTGTCTCAGGCCTCGAGCTCAGCTTCACAGGAACCCAAGACCCACAGCCTGGGACACCGGTGGTCCCAGCTTACCTCCACCCACCACCGTGCAAAAGGAGGTGACTGTGGCCAGAGTCAGCATTTAGTAACAGCAAAGATAACCCCCTCCTTCTAGGGCCACTCCTGGGAGCTGTTTCCTACAGTCCATCTCTCTATCCTGTTTCCACACTAAGCAGAGTGTCCGAATGCTGTGGACCCCAAACCCCATGGCTTCAGTTTGTTGTCCAGGGAGCAGGTGGGCTTTCTGGGCCTGAGCACAGGGACAGGGAAACAGTCTCCCAGGATGGATGCACCTCCACCCTGCCTGCGGCTGTATTGCAGAACCCGCCTGCTTCAGCTTGCAGAACCAGCAACCCCACACCCGCAATGGGCCTCCTTCCGGATGCTTCCTGGAGCCCCTCCAACCTCTGCCCCAAATGGGGTTGAAGTTTCTGGGCCCCAGGAGCCCAGACCCCTTCTTTCCCCTCAGACCCAGAAGTCCCAGACTCCTGCCCTCTCAAGGCCCCTGAATCCCCAGATCCCTCTCCCCAGGGCACTTGGGAGTCTGGACTCCAGCCCTTTTTCTGGGAGGGACCCAGGGGTCTAGGCAGTAGGCCCCTGCCCTTTAAATACCCGTGGTCCCGCCCTCTCCCCCCTCCTGCCCCCAGCCCCCGCCCCAGGTGTCCTCTCGGGACCTAGGCTCACCTGTCTGTCCTTTGCCCAGAGTCTTCTCCAGCCGATAGGGACCCACATACTGGGCGTGCTGGGGTGGGTGTGGGTGTGGGTGTGGGAGGTGGTAGGCGGGGGAGCCCCCGCCACCCTCCTTGGCCCCGGACGACATGGTGCCCTTGGCCCCGGCCCGACCGGTTCCCCGGCCGCCCCCCCTGCGGCCGGTCGCCCCGTTCCTCCGGTGGGGGCCGGCGACACCTCCGTCCCGGCCCCCCCGGTTGCTCCCCACTTCTCCGGGGGTCCCCAGGGGGCTGGGCTGGCCCCCCCAATCGGTGGGCCGCGGATCTGGGGGAGGGGGGGCTGCCGGGGGGGGTCAGGCCCCTGGAGTCAGCATGGCCGGGGGGGCTGCGCGGCCCCCCCTCCCCAGCCCGTCCCTGGCCGGCCCCCCCCTTCCTGCGCCTCCCCCTGCCGGGGGGGTCTGAAGTGCGGGGCCGGCGGATGCTGCAGGCCGAGGTCCCCCCCGCCCCCCCACGCGCCCTCTCTCCTCCGCCTCCTCCTCCTCTCCGCCTCCCCCCGCCACCTCGTCCTTTCTCTCCGGCACGCTGACATCACCATCCGGGGACTCCGGGCCCTTCCCCAAAGTTAACCCTTTCGGAGAGTGGAGGGGGAGTGGCAGGGGGCGGGCCTGGAAGCTGAAGGGATGGAGAGGAGGTGGGAAGAGGCAAGGAAGGGTGGAGGGATGCAGGAAGAGAAAGGGACTGGAGGAGAGAGGGATGCAGGAGGAGAGAGGATGGAGGAAAGGATGGAGAGAGATGCAGGCTCAGTTGATAGAGATGAAGACACAGAGAAGTCTGCCGTACAAAAACAGATGGTGAGATGCAGGGGGACAAGGAGCAGAGAGACAGAGAGACAGAGGCAGAGAGAGAAGCCTGCAGAGGAAATACACTCCTGTAATCCCAGCTTTTGGGAGGTGGAGGTAGGATCAGGAGTTCAAGGTCAATCCCAGCTCCATAGTGAGTTTGAGGAAATCCCGGGCTGCATGAGATCCTGTCCTAAAAAAAAAAAAAAAAAAAAAGAAAGAAAGAAAAGAAAAAGGACAGAGAGAAAGGGACAGAATGGAGACTAAGAAATGGGGACTTGATCTCCCTGAACTCCTTGGTCAAAGTCTGTTCCCACTAACAATAGGGCTTCATATCCACCCACAGCCTAATATGATTTTGGATTCTTCTGCCTCACACAGAAACTTCCAGAACTCCC